AAGGTATTTATAAGTTATAACCTTTCAACGTTTCTGCGGCTACAATAAAGAGTGCCTCTTCCTACATTTTAGATATTGTGAACTTGTACACTTCATTTTGCAAAACCTATTCTTCGAACTAATATAAGTCTAACTGCTCCCCCTTTATTATTGTAGACATACTTACAATCTATCACTATGAGGCTTGAGGAGTGGAGGCTCAAGCGACGAGACACTGAAGAATGGATGAGGCATCGCCAACTCCCTCAGGATCTTCAAGAACGTGTCCGACGTTTTGTACAGTACAAGTGGCTTGCCACTCGAGGAGTAGACGAAGAATCTATCCTGCATGCTTTACCTTCAGATCTTCGTCGTGACATCCAACGCCACCTATGTTTAGACCTTGTTCGGCGTGTAAGTCATTTTCTTTGTTTTCTCTTGTTGCGCTTCAAACTTGTAACATTAATAATTTATTTGGAATGATTGTTCAATACTTGTTTTTTGTTACTGTGTGAATATCAAACAAGTTATGTATTATTATTTCGTTTGAGTTCATTTTTTCTTTTTCTTTTTGCAGGTTCCCTTCTTCTCACAAATGGATGATCAGCTGCTTGATGCCATTTGTGAACGTCTGGTTTCATCGTTATGTACCGAAGGAACATACATAGTACGTGAGGGTGATCCGGTAATTGAAATGCTGTTTGTTATCAGAGGAACATTAGAGAGCTCAACCACGAATGGGGGCCGAACGGGCTTCTTCAACTCAATTACTTTGAGGCCAGGTGACTTTTGTGGTGAGGAACTTCTTGCGTGGGGATTATTGCCAAGATCCACTCTTAACTTGCCTTCATCGACGAGAACAGTGAGAGCCCTGTCGGAAGTAGAAGCCTTTGCATTACGAGCAGAGGATCTTAAGTTTGTAGCCAATCAATTCAGACGTCTCCATAGTAAGAAGCTACAGCACACCTTCCGTTATTACTCTCACCACTGGAGAACTTGGGCTGCCTGTTTCGTTCAAGCTGCTTGGCGTCGTTTCAAGAAGAGAAAGCTGGCTAAAGACCTTAGTAGGAGTGAGTCCTTGTCTTACGTTACCGAGGATGAGCAATCAGCGAATGAAAGTGAATGTGAACATGAATATGAGGATGATCAACAAAAGAAGAATAAACCAGCAAACTCTTCAAATGTAAAGCAGAACCTTGGAGTTACAATATTGGCATCAAGATTTGCTGCAAACACAAGGAGAGGAGCTCAGAAGATGAAGGATATGGATTTGCCTAAGTTACAGAAGCCTGAGGAGCCCGACTTTTCAGCTGAGCCAGATGATGACTAGCTCGACTTATGACAGATTACAACTGAAATTCTACAGAAGCAATATAAAGACAGTACTACGATGAATTTAAAGAATTTTACTCATGTTACAAAAGGAAAAAGATACATGTTGTGCTGCAGATGATTATAACTATTCGCTAGACTTTACTTGTAAGTAGAAAAGGGTCAAGGGAAATTAGGTTCCTATAAAATATGAGAAAACTTAAATGAAAACAGTAATTATAGGTCAGTGTATGTTGAAGAAAAACAAAAGGATATGTTTTATGTGTCATTCTTTTTGTTGGCAAACATAGATTTAGTTTAGTGAACATGTACGTTAATGTCAAATGATATGTAAACTAATCAAGATGATAATCAATTGGTTTCTCAACTTCTACTCTATCCTTTTCACTGGGAAGCTAATAATTCCTTTATTTTAAAAGCACTCTAGAGTAAATAATTAAGCAGAAGTAAGATGAAAATATAAGCAATATACACAGTTGGGCAATGTTAGAAATGTTAAAATATGATAGAGATGATGCGAACACATTTTGAGATGATGCGAACACAGTTGGGCAAGAAAATTGATTCATCTTGCAATCAAGCCTTCCTCTTATTGTTGGCATCTTTGCCGGACTAAGGGTGGCAAGTGGGCCGGTCCGGGACCGGGACCGTAGTTCAAATGGGCCAAACGGGCCAAGACCGGTAGAACCGGTATATGTGGGCCTGGGCCGGTCTCGTAGGTCGGTTCAACGCTTTGGGGCCGCTAGGACCGGGACCGTTTGGGACCGGTCCCGGTCCCTGGCGGGCCAAACGGTCCCAACGGTAAAATTTAAAAAAAAACTGGTCGTTGGAAAAGTTTAAAAAATAGCCGTTGGGCTGTCAAAAATAGCCGTTGGGCTGTCAAAAATAGTCGTTGGCTATTTAGAAAATAGCCATTTAACCTCAACTTTGTTTTAACTCCAAACTTTTTATAATTACACTTTTTCCCTATTTTCAACTACAAATACCCTCTCATTCTTTCATTTTTCTTACACAATCATCAATTTATCACAATCTCTCTCTAATTTTCTTCTATACTTGCTACTATTGCTTATTTTATTGTTACAATTTGTGAAATTTTTTTGAAGTTGGTGAATTGACGTCTTCAAGTCTTCAACGATAATCAATTTTCAACAAATTGTTCGTCAATTCGGTAAACTCGTTCCAACTCTTATTTTAATATTATAGTTTTATTTGCTTTATTTATTTTCTATTACTTGATTAATTAAGATGACTTCCTTAAAAAAACTTTTTGGTAAAAATAAGGGAAAATTCAAGAGTGGCGAATCTAGTGGCCAAGTTGTTGCTCCTCCACTGCCCCTGGCTCCCCAAACCAAACTCCATATCCGTCCTACACCTGCTATTCTTGATAGCGATAATAGTTTATTACAATTTACTGAGAGTTAATTTTGCCATAATATTGCAGCTGGTGAACAATTAGACCATGAATTAATGAATGCTCTTTATTCTAATAATACTATTGATGAAAATGATGATGAGGAAATTGATTTTGATGAAACTCAACCGGATGATAATACACCCACTAGTCCTGCTCCTGATGTTAACCCAACTAGTGATAACCCTGCTAATCCAAATGATGCCCCATCTGATACTCCTGTTACTGCCCCTACTTTTTCTAGACAACCTACCAAACGGACGGAATCATCTCTAGTTTGGCCATTTTTTACTCAACTAATTCCAGAAAATAAGCCTAAGTGTAAAACTTGTGGTACGGAGTTAGCTTTTAAATATTTTGGATTGCGGGGGAGGAGGGGGACGGTAACTTTATCTAGACTCATAAAAAAATACCCTCAAGATAGAGTCAAATATCTTCATTTGAAAGCTTTGGCCGAGGGAAAAAGTGTACCTACTCCTAGTCAGGCTAACCCTAGTACCAGTTTAAATCAATTTCAACCAGGAATTAACACTGTTACCGGTGGTATTTTATATTATGATCCAAAAAAGATCGGAAAGAATTGGCAAAAAATGGTAATTATTATGTGCTTATCCTATAGTTTTCCTTCTAACCCTAACTTTGTGCATTATATTAGAAAAATTTGTAAGAGATACCATGTAACTTGTATGAACAAAAATTAGTATGTATTATGTAACTTGTATTTTGGCACATCTTGATTAGTTTCTTTTTTGTCTTAATGGTGGTATTAGCACCTTGTTGTGCTCATTCCATAGGAGGGAGGGAGAGTAAGAAAGATATTGCCATATTTTTTTTAATGCTATAATAAAATTACAAGGCATTGCTTTGAATATCTCTTTACAATATTTTTGTCTTTAGATTTGAATTAAAAAATTTAGGTCACAATTCTATAATAAAATTTACAAGGCATTGTGATAGAATTTAAGGGTCCACCAAACTATATAGAGAACCAGGTTCTCTATTAGTACCCACAGAAACCACACACACTGCAGTAAGTAAATGACAAGAGGAATTTTACGTGAAAAACTCCCAGCTTAACGGGATTAAAAATCACGACCTACCCTTATAGGATTTCAACTTCATTACTGAGAACTTTAGATTATAACCTATGTAACCTAGGAATTAACCTCTTAATCCCTCACTAATTTGTAATGCTCTGTTACAAGCCACTTTGTAATAACTCTATTACAAAGACTTTACAACTCGACTATCTCTAGGCAAGACAAAAAACACAAGGGTTTATGATTTACAAAGGGTTTCCTACGCAATGATTCTAACTAAGCTAAGTAGGAATTACAAGTAAAGAACTATTGCAAAGTTACAACTTAACTAAGGACATAAAATAACTTGATATGGGGAACTGGTACTTAGCAGTGTTGTTCTTTGTTCTTGATGCACTTGAGAATCGTTTTCATGATGATCAATCACAGTGAGTATAGTTGAGTAAATTCTCTAAGTGTTCAAGTATTTTGTTTTACCTTCCTTGATGTTAATAATACATTTGCGATATCACATAGAATGATGTAAGCAAGTTAGGTAAAAGACACTCCCCATAAAGTTGACTTCTGCACTGTTTCTATACTGTAGCGTGTGCAGGCGGCAACTTTACAGCTAGGGCAGTTGACTTTGCAATTTCCTCGAAAAACTGTAGCTATCTATTCTCTCTGTTGTTTCTTTGATTCTGAAGAGTTTGACCATATACCAAGCTGGAACCTTTTTGATCTTAAGGTCTTGAGAATATATAATAGGCTTCTTATCTGGTGCTTGACAATGAGCTTGTTAGATCATCAAAGTATAACAAGGATACACATATAACCTATCAATTTTCTCCTTTTTGATGATGACAAACTTATAATTCATGTTCCCTCTAAGAACCAACATTTCTTGTATTTTCCCTGAATTTGTTTCCCATCCTGTTTCCCCTGAATTATTTTTTCCCCTTTTGGCATCATAAAAAGACCAGTAACAGGTTTTTAGCAAAAAAAAGTCTAGCTTGAATTAACTCATGTCACTTGTGTGCACACAACATGACTAAAAATAGAGCATAAAGACAAGGCATGTACAACAAAAAGGGAAAAGCTTCCATTAAATAATTTGGATTTTTAAAACAGAGAGCAGATTCAATGTTTCTTACAACCATCCACAATTCAGAACAACAAAAACAAATACCACAAACATCATCAGAAACTAATCATAAGAAACCAACACATAAGACTTGACAGTGAGGGGACACTGTCTAGGGAGCACTGGAAGGAGAGGGCTTAGAGGCGGAGGCAAGGGTTTGGAAGACGAGATCCATTCGAGCATTCGCTGACATTTGCTCATTGAGCAGTTTCTCTTTCAGTTCCTCCACCTGTTTCTTGAGCTCAACATTCTCCTTGGTCAGACAGGCAACCTCTTCACTTTGAGAGATACTGGAACCAGGTGCCTTCTGAAGCTGACTCAACTGACTCTCAAGGATAGCATTCATTGCTTTCAACTGCCTTATCTCAGCAGTGGCACTATTCTGAGCGTTGATCAACTGAGAAATGGTAGAAGTGCTTCCAACTCCTCCAAACCTATTAATGCACTCACATTCTTCGAGAGTGGACTTGGAGAAAGTTTTCTTCTTAGTGCCCACTTTTGCTTGTCCTAGAGGAACTTTGAAGTACTCAAAAACCTTGGTGAGAAGGAACCCATAAGGCAGCCCATGATTACTATCTTTAAACTCTGCCATTTTCTGCATGTGCTCTATCATGATCCCAGGTAGGTTGATGGTCGTGAAGTTGTCTAGTGCTTCCATGAGGAACAGGTCTGCACAAGAAGTGATAGATCTTCTCTCAGCACGGGGGAGCAAGACCTTGTTCAGCATATCAAACAACAATTGGTACACTGGAAGGAGAGCCTTCTTCTGTACCCGTTCCCCTTGCTGAACTGCTCTGTCCTTCAGGATGGCATTTCTGAAATTTTGAGAACAAGTTCCCTGAACATTAGACAACCCTTCAGCAGGCACACCTAGAATAGACCCCAACAAAACTGAGTCTATTACCATATCAACTCCATTCACCAGTACACAGATGTGATTATCCTCAACTTTGAAGAAGTCGGCATAGAAACTTTGTGCTTCCTCCTCATACACTCTTGGAGCATCACTTGTGAACAAATGTGTCCACTGTTGAAACTCACAAATTTCAACCAACTATCGCTTCCAGCCTCCTCCAAAATGTCAGGGGCGAATGTGCGGCCCCATAACACCTTTTGATTCCTCAATTTTTCTTTTCCAGCACTCTGGGGATTATGAACTTTGGCCTTCTTGGATGAACTAGGTTCCTCATCAGCGTCAGCTTTTCTTTTAGCAGACTTGCAAACATTCTTTCCTTTTTCAGCAGACTTCACAGACTTTTCACCCAATTCTTCCATCACCCTTGCACTAGACTCTTCCACCAACGTATCACCAGATTCTTTCACTATATTTTCACTAGAGACAACCTCATCAGACTTGTTCAGGCTTTTAGTAGTCACAGAAGATCCTCTTTTAGGCTTGGGGAGACCATGCTTCTGTGAACGCTTTCTAGTCAAGGAACCAGGTTCCTCGTCTACTTCATCACCCACATTCATAACATGCATTGTCTTCTCACTCACAACTTTCCCATCTTTCACCAATTTTCTTCTCCTTAACTTAGCTTGGTTGTTTTTAAGAGCAGACTCAAGCCTCCTTCTTTTGCAACCTTGTAGTAGGTCTAGGAGTAGACTCTTGAGCAACCATTGGTCTACGCCTAGTCAAGCTAACAATTGGCATATCATCAGAATCCTCTTCACTTTCCCCAATTTCTTCTTCAGATTCAGATCTTATCTCAGGCACAACTACATACAAAGGCTCAGCATCAAAATAAGGAGAGAGAGAGCAGGGTCAATATTGACTTGGGGCTCTTGAGAGGACTCCTAAGTTAGATCCTGAGGAGGGATCAGGTCCCTTATTTGGTACCCCAGTAGTATTGTCAAGTGCCGATTGTTCAACGACATAAGCTCTTTACCCTTTACCACAGTCTTAGACTCTTCCCCCTGAGCCTCAGACCCTTCCTTACTTCTTTCGATAATAACCTCTTCATTAGCTATAGATAACATGTTTTCTGTTGTTTCTTTCTATTAACTCCATGGAAAACGTAGAAGAAGAAGGAGTTGTACCTGTGCGCTCAAGATTAGGAACTGAAGCATTCTCAGAACCAGTAGTTTGATCTACATTTGAGCCTTCATCCAAAGGAGGACTAAAGATTTCCTGATTTTCTTCTTCGTCAACTATACCCTTTAACCCAGTTTTTTTGGCGAGGCAGGAGGAGAGCTCGTAGCCACAAACCTCTTAGGAGTCGAGATTTTGCGACTCCTATGAGAACCAGAACTCGATTGTGTAGGAGATGAGACTAACGGTGGGGGTGACTCTGCCCTGGGGTTTTGGCTAGTAGTAGTGTGGAGCAAGGAGTCTAACATTGGTGTTTTAACTGGTGAGGACTCATTTTAGGTATCACTTGGAACACTCGAGGTTTCGTGATTTTCAGCCATGGTGAGAAGTGATGAGTTGAAGAAAAGGGATGGGTAGTTTGAAGAGAGAAAGAAGAAGGCAAAGTTTGAAGTTTGATGTGAAGAGTTGTCACAACCGGTTAAGAAAGGGCAACAGTTTTAGGAGTCGGGTCGATTATTAACGGGTGAGACGTTTGGGTTCAAAAGACACAAATAAAAGAAACTGATGCACTGATGACGTGGAACTTGTTTTAACTTTTCAAAATTGTGCATGAGAGAAAAGAGAACTACTAACTTGTGCCAGGAGAACTAGGTTCCCTGACTAATCTTGTATCTGTAAGCTTTGCCCTTTTTACCAGCGTGCACTGCATCAACTGCCTATTGCCCTGTAATCATCATGCATGTCTACCTGTAATGGTATAGAGATAAGTTAGACTTTGCTAGAAAACACTTTTGAGCTAATTTTACCTGAACATTTCTTTCATAGCCAATCACCGAGGGACTAGGTTCTCAGTTGGGTTTTATCAACTCTAGTGCCAGGTGATTTTTTTCAAAATTTTCTCAGCTCAAGGCCTTGGTGAATATGTCTACAATATATTCTATGTTGCAGAATTTCATGTAGATGAGCCCTTTTTCAACATTGTCTCTGAGGAAGTGGTGACACACATCAATGTGCTTGGTTCTCTTATGTTGGATTAGATTTTTGGCCATATTGAGTGCACTTGTATTGTCGTACAGGAGGGGAACACAGTCAGAGAACACTGTGAGTTCTTCCAACTATTGTTTGATCCACATCAATTGAGCATAGCAAGAAGCTACTGCTACATATTGCGCTTCTACAGTTGAGAGTGCCACCTAGTTTTGCTTTCTTATACCCCATGAGATTAGACTGTAACCCAGGAAATGTGCCATTCCAGACGTGCTTTTCCTGTCCACCAGATGTCCTGCATAATCAGCATCAGCATACCCAACAAGATCAAAGATGTCACCAGAGGGATAATAGAGAACCAGGTCCTGCGTTCCTTTGAGATATCTCAATATTCTCTTGGCATCCTTAAGATGAGATTCCTTTGGATTAGATTGAAACCTTTCACAAAAACCCATGCTGAACTCAATGTCTGGTCTTCTTGTAGTGATATACAAGAGTGACCCTATGATCCCTCTATACATGGTCTGATTTATAGGGGAACCAGGTTCATCCATGTCTAGATGAGTAGTTGTGTCAATAAGAGTGTCAATCACTTTTGATGCTTCCATGTCAAACCTTTTCAGCAAGTCCTTTGTGTACTTCTGCTAATTTATCAATGTTTTCTTTTGAGATTGCTTCACTTGAAGTCCTAGGAAGAAATTTAATTCTCCCATCATACTCATCTCGAACTCACTCCCCACAAGTTTTGAAAACTCTTCACAAAGCGAGTCATCTGTGGCTCCAAAAATGATGTCATCAACATATACTTGAACAATGAGCAGGTTCCTCCCTCTTTTCTTCAAAAAAAGAGTGTTGTCAATTTTCCCTCTTGTAAAGCCATTTTCTAGAAGGAACTTTGACAACCTTTCATACCAAGTCTGGGGAGCCTATTTTAGCCCATACAGTGCCCTGTCCAGTTTGAACACATGCTCAGGATGCTCGTGATTCTCAAATCTAGGAGGTTGCTTGACATAAACTTCTTCTTTTAGGAAGCCATTGAGAAATGCACTTTTGACATCCATTTGGAACAATGTGAATTCCATATTTGATCCAAAAACAATAAGGACTCTGATAGCTTCCATTCGAGCGACTGGAGCAAAAGTTTCATCATAGTCAATTCCTTCTTCCTAGTTGTGGCCTTGAACTACAAGCTTTGCCTTATTTCTTGTTGTGTTTCCAAACTCATCAAGTTTGTTCCTGAATACCCACCTGGTTCCTATAATGGTTCGATCTGCAGGTCGAAAAACTGGGTGCTATACTTTGTTTCTTTCAAATTGATGCAACTCATCTTGCATGGCATTGATCCAGTCTGTATCTTTAAATGCTTCTTTGATGTTTTTGGACTCTATTTGAGAAAGAAAGGCTGAAAAGGTAAGTGAGTTTCTAGCTTTTGACCTGGTTTGAATTCCTGAGTTGAGATGAGTGATTATGTTGTGAAGAGTGTGTGAACTTATGCCCTTCCAATTTGGTACCTGAATCTCACTGGTAGAAGACCTAAATATGCCTGACTGCATCAAGAACTCTATTTTCAGCTTCAGTTGTTGTGATCGTATGACCAGGTTCCTCTCTAATGGATGGAGATGTATTTGCATCATCTTCACTGGATTCCTTAATATGACTCATCATGTCTGTCTTTCCATTTGCCATGTCAATAACTTCACCTGGAATAGATAAAGGTTCTCCATCTTGGTCAACACGTTTATCCTTCTCATAGGAGAGGTGAGATTCATCAAAGATCACATGTATATTCTCTTCAACATATTGAGTCCTTTTTTGTATACTTTGTAAGATTTGCTTTGAGATGAGTATCCCAGAAAGATTCCTTCATCACTTTTGACATCGAATTTTCCAAGAGCTTCTTTTCCATTGTTGAGGACAAAACATTTACACCCAAAAGTCCTTAGATGTGTCAGCTTGGGATTCCTTCCATTCAGCAGTTCATATGGAGTCTTATTCAGAAGGGAACTGATCAAGCACCTATTCACCAAGTAGCAAGCAGTATTGACAACTTCTGCCCAGATATTCTTTGCAATTACACTGTCAATCAACATTGTCCTTGCCATATCTTCAAGAGTTCTATTCTTCCTCTCCACAACACCATTTTGTTGAGGTGTTGTTGGAGCTGAAAAATTGTGAGTAATACCATTTTTCAGTACAAAACTCATCAAATTTGGCATTGCCGAACTTGGTACAATGATCAAACTTGATGCAAGCTACATTATTACCCATCTTCACTTGAATAGTTTTGATAAACAGAGTCCAGGTGAATCTGGAGTAATCGTCAACTATAACAAAGATGTATTTCTTTATTCCTTTACTTGCCACCCTCACAGGTCCACATAGATCCATGTGAAGAAGATCAAGTGTCCTTGAGGTACTGACTTCCTTTTTGGGCTTGAATGAGGATCTGACTTGCTTACCTTTTATACATGCATCGCACACTTTGTGATCCTTGAAGCTTGGCTTGGGCAGACCACGAACCAGGTCCTTCCTGACCATTTTTTTCAACAGCGTGAAGCTTGCAGGACCAATCCTCCTATGCCATAGTTCAACATCATCATCAACAACACTTAGACAGCTGAGATCACCATTCTGCAGAGACTCAAAATCAGCAACAAAGATATTTTTGTATCTTTTTGCTACTAGCACCACCTCACCAGTCACTAGGTTTGTGACTGTACATATTTTTGACACAAATTCCACCTTATTTCCCTTGTCACAGATCTGGGAAACACTTAGCAAGGTGTGCTTCAACCCGTTCATGTAGTACACATTTTTAATTGAGTGTGAGAGAGACTTCTCAATCCTTCCAACTCCCAGAATGTATCCTTTCTTGCCATTTCCAAAGGATATACTCCCTCCTTGTAGGGCCTTAAGTGAAAGGAAATCATTTGTACTTTTAGTCATATGCTTTGAGCAGTCGTTATCCATGTACCGTTGTAGGATTCTCCCTTTCACTGTTCCCTATACAAGGAAATCAGGAGTTAGACTTAGGAACCTAAACGAGTTTGGGTCCCTTGTAATGAAGAAAGGGGTGAATGAGGGATCTTCTGGTCCAAGTAGGCATCATGCCTTTTTTATATGAAGGATCAGGTTCTCTACCAGTAGTTACTTTTTCAGCAAAAACTTTGTTTTTGTGTTATGACTGAAATCTGGCCTTACATGTTTCTTTAAAGTGCCCATTATTGCCACAATGAGTGCAAAGCCAATTACCAGGCACAGTAATGTACTTGCTATGAGGGTTGTAAGGAGTCTTTTCCCTTTGGAACCCAATTCCCTGCTGGTTCCTCCCATTATTAGTATTACATGGCAGTGATAGCATCAGAGGACTAGGTCCACTTAATTGATTTTTCAAGATCACTCTTCACTATTCCTAGTTCTTCTTGAAGTTGTTTGTTTTTCTCAAGCTCGACACACAGACTAG